TGAGAGATCTCTTTTTCTGAATCAAGACAAGGTGCCATCCTTACCATGTATTAAGTACCATGATCACAATGTTTCTGCAAATTTGCTTGTTGTTGCTTTATTCGTTCCAGATATGAATGCGGTATTGGTTAAAAAAAAGAGATGAAAACAATTTTTAACTTTGTTTGATTCTGGTTCTTGGGAATGCTGGACTACCTATCCTTATACTATTTCTCGTTATCTGTTCCTACCTCACAGACGAGTCATTCAGTGTATATCAGATCAGCGCCTAACCACTTCTCTCTCTCACCACCTAGAGAATATCCTCATCCTCTAAACATATAATGCATGCAGATAGATAATTAGAGTCTGTATCTTCATGCATTAATTAAGGTCAAACTATGCAATAATGTAGCTATAATATTCAATTACACTAATTTGCCTAAAAATGTCAAAAAAGAAAAATAATCGAGAAGAAAAATTATATAAAAATGACTTCTTGTTTTTATAAAGCAAAATAATTGAAACATAATTAGAAAATGTTTTTTTTTAATATTTTTTAAAATCAAAATGTTCTTTCTACATCAACAGGCTTTACGGACAGAGCAAGTTTATGTCTGTTTAAAATTATTGATTGTTTTTCAATAGAAACCTGTTCGAACAGTAGAAACCAAAATTAACTTTTCATGTTACATGTTTAACACTGTTTCGTTTTTAGAATCTTAAATCTCGACTAAATATTTCAATATTATATTTAAAATATTATGTACCTTAAATAATAAAAAATATTACTGCTAGTAAATGAAGTTTTTTTTTTTTTTTAACTTTTATTGAGATTAATACAGTCTGCCAGACTGAAGGGCATTGGTACTAGGGCTATAGTATTCATTCATACAATATGTACATAAAAAAGGAAAAAAAAAAAAATATATATATATATATATAAATAAAAAGATAAAGCAATATACAAGATAATTAAAACAAAACATCAGCCAAAAAATAACAAAACAAATAAAACACATTAACACCTATGTACAATATTTAAATTGGCCCAGGGGACTCCGAATCAAGCTTTGTCCCCCAACTGTGGAAGCCAAAGCAGGACTCCAGGAGATCCCAGTGCTTCTCTCCCAGCCGCGTCACTGGTATAGTAAACCAGTGGAGGCTGAGTAAATGAAGTAAGTAATGTTAACTGAGTGTTGAGTTAAGAATTTTAAAATGAATAAGAAGAGCAGATAGAAATGTAGAAAATGAAAAACTACATATTCTTGTTTGTTCATTGAAAACAGCCTGTATTGAATTAAATATACAATTTTGCATTTTAATTTATTATTCATAACTATTACTGCATTTTTAACCTAAAGTAATTTAGATATGCAATTATATCCGTTTATCAAGAGATATGCTAATGCATACAATATGAAATTTGACTAATTGCGTACAAATTCACTGGTCCATAAACATATTCAATCACTGTTTTATAAATCCGGGCCTTGCTGATAACACAATTCTGTTATGAGTGAACAGTAACCTATTAATTGCATTCCAGGATCATCCATCATGTATAAGAATCCTGGAAGGTTGTTAAAACTGAATGATTGATTATCAATATCAGAGATTCATATACATATATTTTAAATTTATATTTACCACTACACCTATGAAGGGTCATAAATTCAGTTCAGGATCCCAGTGTCGATCCACGGCCGATGAAACCGAACTAATAACATCCTGCTACCAGGTGGATTCGAACCTAGGACCTAGAGCTTAGTGGCTCAGTGCCTGAGCTACTACGCTCCCAGTAAAAAGATGTATCGTCGGTTTACTCCAAAACGTTATTAAGTAATATTTCATAAAATTTAATTACTAAGTTCCTGTTGCTCAAAAATAAAATAATAGACATAGAAACCAATATAATCGAAATTAACGTAAGAGACATGTACAAAGTTATAAATAGACCACGTAAATGTAAATATAACAGAGCCTGGTGTCTGGAATTAGAGATGAAAATAACAATATTCTGACCGATCCGGTGGATTAAATGGCAATATTTTGAATACGGAAAATTACAATTTGTGTCTTCCTTATGAGTACCAGAGTGCTGAACCATTAATAGAAGAACCAAGTAAAATGGAAATTGAAGTAGCTGTCGAAAAATTATAATCTTATATAGGAACGGAAACTGATAATATTCCTTGTGAACTAGTTAAGTCATAGAGAGAAGCTGGAGTTTCTAAAATACATTTGTTGATTAAAAAGATCTGGAAGAATAAGAAATTACCCGAAGAATGAAAAGAATCTAGTCTTATTCCGATTCACAAAAAGGGTCCGAGGACGGATTGTAATAACTATCGAGGAATTTCACTCCTTCTGGTATGTGATAAAATATTCACTTTAATCTTAACCAGTCGAATCACGGAATACGCGGAAGAAATTATCGGAGACTACCAATGCGGATTTAGACGGAACCGTTCGACTATTGATCAAATATTTTCTTTACGGCAAGTATAAGAGAAAAAATTGGAGTACAACGGTATTGTTCACCAGCTGCTTTTCGATTTCAAAAAGATTTACGCTTCTACTGACCACCAGAAACTGCATAATATTCTAATCGAGCAGGGGATTCCAAAAACATTAGTAAATCTAGTCAGGATGTTTCTGACGGAAACACTCAATAAAGTCAGAATCGGTAATAATTTATTCCAAAAGTTGGAAGTTCGTTTGGGTTTAAAACAAAGTGATTTTCTATCGCCTGTCCTGTTCAATTCGGCTATATAACTAAATATGACAACGTTAAAGAAATCCAGTAAAGAGCTAGGTCTCAAAATAAACACGGATAAGACAAAATATATGGTTAAATAAAATATATGGTTAGTTGTAAAAATGGCGAAAGTGTTAAAGATATCGATATGGAAGGTGATATGTTTGAACAGGTACAGAAGTTTAGGTTCTACGATAACTAGAAAAATCGAAATTGAAGAAGAGATTAAGGTTAGGCTGAAGGCGGAGAATGCTTCTTATTTTACTGTGACAAAACTGCTTAGCTCGCGCCTCTTGTCCCAAAACATGATCAAATAACATGATTTTTGACGTAGTTCCGTAATAACACTGAGTAGAGCTATAATAGAATTTCTTTTTGATTTTAGCTAACTGTTCATTTGCATGTCAAGGGACTAAATGGCTGGATTATGTTATTAATGACATAAATAATATTAATATAATAAAAATAGTATTAATATAATATATAATATGATTTTTTCATTGTTTAGCTGTCGTTTACTATTACCATTCTCCAAATATATAGGTACCATAAGTTCGGCCAAACTCTTATTTACCATTTTGCCTTCTTATAAATGTAATAAGATTATTATCATTATAATAACAACAAATAGTAATGGATATGAAAATAGGACCGGGAATGGAATTTAAAGATACAAGAATATAATTAATAAATCCTAGTTTATACAGAATGTTTATAGTACAGTAATTACATATTTTAGCTGTATTTCACTATTACCAGGCTCCAGATATGTTAGTAAATTAAGTTCTATGTGTATGTATCATATAAATGATGAAAAATATTTTTTTTTTAAATAATACACAATTCTAAAAACATTTTGATCACTTTCTGATTTATTATTATTCTTGACTAAATATTTTTCATTAATATAAAAAAAAGGCAATATGTATAAACTATTAAATATTATTCCTAAAATAAAAATTCCTATTATAATACCGTTGATAACATAAATATAATGCTAAATACATATAGTAATTTCGAATATCCTCTTCGAACTATCAGCTGCCTTCGCTGGAGGAAGGGGCTAAATGATGCCAGGCCCGCAGAGCCGGACAGTCCTGCGGGGCTAAAGTACTCAGCCCCGTTAACCACCTTACCTCAATTAAACTTCATTAGTATCTGCGTTTATCCAACTTACGTGTATATATATATATATATATATATATATATATATATATTTAACAGCAGCTTAATAGATGTGCTGATGGACGGTGCTGAGACTGTCGCTGTGTCCCTGGCCTGAGGTTTCGAAGCTCTATTTTAAATCTTTGAAGAGGATCCCATTGTTAACTTTAAAAAGAAAAAAGGGATCGAAACGTCGAATAAACACAGAAGCAATGAACATTTAGTAGTTTATTCAATTAATTAATAAGTGACCTTATTCCCAATTAAATAATTATATTTAAATATATATATATATATATATATATATATATATATATATATATATAAAATTTTGATTGATTAAACTAGTGTGTTAGGCATGTGGGATATCTGTTGATATTATAGGTTTGTATCTACTGCCCGACTATCAGAAACAAGCTCAAAATTTAAAACTCTATCGAAGTAACAACAAACACATGATAAAAAGTATTAAAAAAACCAGTACCTCTACAACCCATGAAGGGTTTTGTATTTAATACTTTGTGAGGAAGTTTTACTTGAAGGCCAACGGTTGTGCAGAAAGATGATCGGTCCAAGATCACTCTCAACCACCAAGTCTTCCCACTTAATTAATTATTTAATTAATATTACCCACTTTATAGAGGCTGGGTGCCCTCCAGGAAGATCTCTTGATTCCAGGGACGATCCACAGCTGATGGGATGATCAGCCAGCATCTACCTGGTTCTCCTATTAAGTACATACAACTAAATTCTAATATTAACATACTAACCTCCAATCTATATAATTTGGTACCGTCTATCGGCAGCAGAAATGTTTCTTTAGTTTATGTATAATTTATTTTATTTTATCATATCTTTATCTTAATTATATCATTCTCTTAATGTTAATTTTATTTCATCCATTTTCTTAATCCATGACGAAAAATTCTTATGATCAATTTCAGTATATAGGTCTGATACCTCCTACCTCGGGAAAAGGCCCAATGCGCTCAACAGCAATATTGTTTCTGTAATTAGAGTTTTTTTGTGACTTTTTCTACATGTCTTCAAGGACCAAGCCATGAATCCATGAAATTTTAAATCCGTTACTGTACAACGTACTATGCTTGCCGGGGAATTTATAAATAAAGTATTGCGTACAAAATCGTTTACTAATCACAAACATTCACATTTTATCTACAGAATGTAACGACTCGACAGAATCGACCCATTCAATATTAAAATATCCAATCTTAATGCAATTGATATTACACTAAATTAAATAAAAAAATGTTTTTTGCCCCTCGGCTCTAATCAAGACGATGAGGATGAGTCAGGATGGCTTTGAGGACAGAGGACAGATCACTGCCGGAGGACGAAGGAAATGGAGTGCTGTCCCGGCGAGAGGGTGATGCCGCACTCTCCCCCCAGACCTGCCGAAGAAGATCCTTCCAGTTGCAGCCGGTACCGCAGCACCATCGAGCTGGTGAAGAGGAAGAGGACCATTTTGGCAAGCTCCTCTCCGAAGCAGGACCTCTTACCTGTAACCCAAGTGTCAAAATTCCATAATATTACTTATTCGAGACCTATTCCTAAACTTATTACTATAGTCAGTTTCTACGGTTAAGATACTAGGAATAAAAATGTGATGCAGTGTGCTCATCACACAATTTTCACTTACGACCTTTTTTATAGAATAAATGAGTGTTATCAGGCAAAGGGAAGTAAAAATAAAAGTTCACAGCCGTCTAAAGTATTATATTCATGATTTTTATTTACTAAAAACTTTCTTTTATGACTGTATATTTTAATCATTTATTTGATTAAAATACATAATAAAGTGCGACAAAACATTTTTCGTCCGAAAAAAGTGCCAATAATAAAGAAGGCCGCTCGTTATATTTATCTGTATTCGATTGTAAGTATTTTTATTTGTTAAAGCATTGGGTATATATTCATAAATGATATGGCCTAAAAAAAACTAAGATGTGTGCTTTAGAACACACCATAGGAGTGAAAGCATCGACAAGGAGAGATTAATTATATGAAATATAAATTAAGAATAGCTCATTATAAAAAGGATGAAAGTATGAACATTTCTTTCCCTCACATTCAGTATGCAGGTCCGATTTTTAGTTTCTGAGATATTTTAATCCATATCTTCAATAAAACTCGTCATCATTTGGTTTTTGATACTATGTCTTCCCTTTTCGTCTCTCTAACATGGTGTCGCATTAAGATACAATTTGGAATAATAGCTCATAACAAAGAGGATAAAATGATAAACATTTCCCTAGCTAACAATATCCGATTTTTAGTTTTTAATATATTTTAATCTATATGCAAATACTCTTCAATTAGTCGACTCAAGCCGACTTTACCCCGAGCGTTACACATCGAGGATCTGACGGGCCAATCTAATTAAATCTCTATAAAAAAAAATTGCAAATCGAACCTGAAGAAGTTCACTTCAAAGATAATGGACTAATAAAACCAATTGTCCCAACCAATAAAACCAACTAAAGACAAGGGCCCACCGAACCGCTGCTTTCAACAGATCGTTCATTATCCGATCCTCATCCCTATGGAATTCCATCCTTTCCCACATCCTTCAATCCAATAACCTTCCTATCTTTAAATCTTGCCTGTTCAATCAATACTAATCCATCCAGTCCCCATAAAATCGTAAATAGATACTAATGTAAATATGTACATAAATTATTAGTTCGTTTTTTATTATTTGTACTCCAATTTTTTATCTATTTTTTTATTTTTTTTATTATCAACTGATGGAACTGGAAAGCAACTTATATGTATATGTGTATATGTATATATATATATTATTTTTTTCACCAAGACTGTTCAATTACTCTGTATTTTTATTTATTTTTGTATCTCTGAGGCTCCTTAGCCCACATTTCTGTTTTCCTGTATTATTCTAAAGGAACTCGTCTGAGAATAAATAAAGTATTATTATTATTAATAAATTATTCTTAAGCAATTATCTCTTGAGCTGACTTTAAAGATATAGGCTATTAGTTTATTCGGTAATAGAAGAAAAGAAAATTAAAGTGCTCCTGTAAGGAAGAAGGATCCAGGACGAAGAAGGACAGAGGAAGGTGAGCGTTCCGGGATCATACTACGGTCCTGGCACCCTGACCTCAATATGCTAAAGGACAGGCATTCATCTTTCGGCTCACTCCGCCGGCATCGGCTTTCCAACCGCAGCGTTAACGATTGATAACATCTCTCTCAAGGAATCTATATATACTAACCAATAATTATATCATAGTAAAACCCTGGCAATATGTACTGTATATATACATGTATATTGATGTAAATTTTAAAACTGTTCTACATATAAAGGGTGATAGTCAAGACGCAGTCAATTTTTATGTTTTTTGAAGTGAATACTTCTTTAGACGCGTTTTGCATTTTTTTTTTTTTTTTTTTTTGTGGAGAGTGAATTAGATTGAGCCGTCAGATCTTCGATGGGTAAAGTCGGCTGGAGTCGACTAATTGAAATGTTTCCGCATATGGATTAAAATATATGAATCACTAAAAATCGTGACAGTATATTATTAGCGAAGGAAATGTTTATCATATTTGTTTATCATATCTCTTTTTAATGAGCTATTATTCACAATTGTATCTTAACGCGACGCCATGAAAGAGAGGCAAACATGGGAAAATATTGTCGAAAACCAAATGATAACGAGATTTATAAAAGTAATGGATTAAAATATCTCAGAATCTAAAAATCACACCTCCATACTGTAAGCGAAGGAAATGTTCAGAATTTCATCCTCTTTATCATGAGCTATTCCTTCAACAATATAATCACCCGTGATGATATTAATAATGAGTTATAAGCTGCGCATTGTGCGTGAAGCAGATACCTATGGTTTAATAATAATTTTGCAGTATAAGATCCAATTTATTCCAATCCTTGCTTGCTCTTTAATCCCAGATAATCTACCTAGATCTAGGAAAAGAAGGTGGCCTCCTAAGCTCCTGATTTAGAACTTATACTAATGTTTACCTCAAAGTCTTTTCACGTAATTGTACTTATCGTATTTACGTTCGGTTTCACTAGATTTATTTTAATTTTAACACAGTAGTAAATTTAATAACAATTAAAGTTGCTAACATAATTACCGCGAGTCCGCCACAAAATTATTTTAATTAGAAAAAAATAAATTAATCAATTAATTTTTTAAAAACGGATTCGCTCCTGTGTCTTACGTCACCTTGACACCCACAACCATCAGGGCCTCAATTTATGTTTAGTTGATTCTTATTTGTTTATTTAGAAATATTACATTCTGTCACATCAAGGACATTTATAATAGTGTTCAGAGAAAGCACACTCACACTCTATTTACAATAAAAAAAAAAAAAAAAATAATACAGAAACTTAATAATAATAAATACAATAAAATAAAATAAAAATAAATACAATAAAATAAAATAAATGTATATAAACAAAAGAACTAACCTAATCATACACACTCGGGCTTGAGTGGAGGATCTGGCCATTGCCAAAACTCCAATAGATGCTTATTTACAAAAGGTCTCTGGGCCACTGCCGCTTCAACCTTCGAGGAGGATTGTAAGGATGGGTGGTGCTGGATAGAGATTGTGCAAGGGGATTTGGATGATAGGTAAGGTTCTGGTGAAATTTGGAGAATTTTTTTGGAATAAGGTCTAGGACAAATGGGATATTAAGGTCATGGTGTAGGATTTTGTTATTTACATAGAACGGAGCATCAACTATTGTTCGAAGGACTTTAGATTGAAAGGATTGAATACGTTTGATGTTAGAAGCTTTTGCTGTCCCCCACAGTTCAAGTCCGTATGTCCATATAGGTTTCAGTATTGTCTTGTAGACAAGTAATTTGTTTTCAATAGAAAGTTTGGATTTTCTGTTTAGTAGTCTGTATAGCTGGCCGTATCGTCGGTTGAGTTCTTGTCTTTTGAGTCTGGTATGTGGGTTCCACGTTAGTCTTCGGTCTAAATGAAAGCCAAGATACCGAACTGTGTCTGAGTAAGGAAGCTGGATGGAATTAAAGTGTACTGGTGGACAGGAACTGCGTCGGAGTGTAAAGGTAATGTGTTGGCATTTAGATTCATTAACTTTAATGCGCCAGTTATTACACCAGTGCTCAATCAAGGTGAGGTGACTTTGGAGATTTAAGGATGCTATTTCGGGATCAGGGTTGGATGATAAGATTGCGGTGTCGTCAGCGAATGTTGCAAGAAAAGTATCGGGATGAACAGGGATGTCAGCAGTAAAGAGGATGTAAAGCACGGGACCCAAGACGCTGCCTTGGGGAACACCGGCTTTAACGGAGTAGATATTGGAAAATTCTGTTCCACAGCGAACTCGAAAGGAGCGGTCAGAGATGTAGGATCGGAGGACTAGGTACAAGGACTGAGGTAAATGGATTTTAAGCTTGAAGAGCAGTCCGGAGTGCCATACCCGGTCAAATGCCTGTGCAATGTCCAGAAAGGCACCCGAACAGTATTCCTTGTTTTCTAGGGCTGAGGAAATATGATCAACAACTCGGAGTTGATTCTAAAGATATTCGATGTTATCAGAAGGGTCTTACCAGTTTGGAAGGGATTGAAACTGTCCTTTCTTCTGACACAGCCATCCGAATCGATGAAACGCTTTGGTTCAAACTCTTCAGGATTGATCCAATATTTTGGGTTATGGTGCAAAGTCCACTGGTTTACAATAATCATGGTCCCTTCCGGTACTCTGAACCCTGCTATCTGGGTATCTTTTGTAGCTCCGTGAGGTATACCTGAAAAAAAGAACTTAAATATAATAAAAAAAAAAGTATTTGAAATTTCCATTTCTTTATTTCCAAGCTAGTCATTTCGGATATACAGCGAGGGTGGTAAGAAGGGCTTATTACAGGTATAACATATCTGTTGTAACATCATTGAGTTTAATATTTTTATATTAAAAAAAGTCATTGAATAATATAGAAACAATTGGAGTTCCAAGCAGGACAACGGGTGTGCAAAACGTGCGTAGCCCGGCAACTTGATTAACAGATTTATCATAATGAAATAATTACGAGTTCGCATGCTGTTGGCAGGGATTTTTTTAAAACTCTGGTATTAATCCCTTGCCCTCTACTTAGCTTCGGAAAATCCCTTTTATAGCCTAAAAGCTTTTATTGTTTGTCTTATTTTTTATTCTGTGTTGAACGTGAATTTCCATCAACAATCACAAGGCATTGTGAGTAGGTAAAGTCTACTTTTCCTATGAGATTGTATTTCTTTGAAATATATTTTATTTCCAATTTATCTTCGACACACTCGTCTCTATGTGTGTGTATATATATACATTTTTTTTCTGCTCCTAATCTTTACGTGTATTCACTTAAACATCTTAGGGATCATATGCAAATCATATTTTTTACAATTTATTTTTTTATATATCAACAGTTTTTTTTTTTTTTTAATTCCATCACTAAAATGCTTTGCTTATAAAATTTATTTAGTGTTCCTATCTAATTTGATTTAGTGATTATTATTTTATGGTTCTAGCTCCAATATTGTAGTATTGGTATCGTATAATATTGTAGTAACAGTCAGATAACAGCTAACTATTAATACTATATATGTATTGTGTAGCAATCATATAATCATAATACTTGGTAAGAGATAGTACATGAATTTCCTACCATCGACGTAGGAATTTCAATACATACATATTTTTTTTTTATTCAATTATAATTAATTTTTTATTTTTATATATATATATATTGAAGTAAATATTCTTTTTTTTTTTAAATGAACTCATTCTATCTTTTTTTCGTTCCTCATTTCTCAAAGTGTATGTTTATGTTGTTCAACCCTTATATATAGTTTTGTTCATAGTTCAAGTGATTCGTTCATAATTTTAAATGCTATTTACATAGTTTTATCTGTACTGTATATAGCTTGTGCACCTAAGGTTTTCTTTACTTATCATTTTATTTTATCAATTTTATTTATTGTTTCAAACGTTTAGGCCAGTAATATTCTATTATTTTGTACATTATTGTTATTCTAAAGATAATTAGACCCAGAATAAAGTTTTTTATTCTATCTATCTATCTATTATATTGCAACCCTATTACCCAAATATATATTAAGAGCATAGTATAAAATAATATTTACACTATATATAAAATAATATTTAATTAAAATAATATTTATAGTATAAAATAATATTTATTTTATTATTCGTATTTTAGTTATTCTTTATTGTAATAGGTCTTTTGCCAGATTTATTGTTAATTTATATAAACAACACTGTTATTCGGGACTTAGTAACAGAATAAAGATGATTTTCTATTCTATTGTATTCTAAAAGGCGAGGAATGGATGAACAAACAGATTTAACTCCAAATATAATATTACTATAAAGAAATATCACTTAGACCGAGATTATCGACTTTTCATTTGCTTACGCGCTTTACTTTTTTTTTGGACTCTATAAGTATTTCCTTCTGACTGCACTTTTTGAATAGTTCTACAGTATGATAAATATCCTAACAATATATATATATATATATATATATATATATATATATATATATATATATATATATATATATATATATATATTTAAACTATAATAACAATACTAATGAAATTCCTGTACGTACCTAGAGGAACAACAGGTCTTATCCTCATCGTCTCCAGGATGGTGGCCTCGGTGTAAGGACACATCGAGAAATGATCCATGTTAGGTTCCTTTCCTTTTCCGATCACGGATGAAACTTCTTCATATACACGTTCCTTAATAAAGAGATATAATTCAATAACATTATTTAAAAAAATAGAAGACAAAATAAAAAAAATCCTACCTGTACTTCGGGGTGCAACGCTAGGTACAGGAGGACCCACCTATAGGTGGCCAGAGTCGAATCCACGCCGGCTCCGAACATGTCGGCTAGGAGGTGGAGCATCTGAGCTTCGTCGAAGTACTCTCCCTTGCCGCTCGCTATCGCTTCCAAGTAATAGCTGAGGATGTTATCCTTCGTCCTCTGCTCGTTAGCGATGCTCCTGTACACGTCGTGGGTTCGCTTCTGACCGTTTTTAATGAAGTCTAACAACTTTCTGTATTGTGGCAGAATCCTAAGGAAGAAACACCAATTAGTGAATCTTTTCAACATGGATAAATGAAAAATTGAGGGCCGATGACCGAATAGGCTAAGGTGCAATAGATAGAGTTAAAGATCCTCGAGAGTCACCGAATCACCGAACTTGGGGGGAGGGAAGGAATGAGCACCCTTGCATATCTTCTCACAATAATAAAAAAAATCAGCTAAAGATAAAACGCCTATTCAAGAAATTTAAATACATACTAAATAAAAATAAAAATAATATAACAATTGTTCATTTTGGATATCATGTTAGGTGAATCATTGTCTTTTGCGTTCGTCTTTTATCTAATCAGTTGTTTTCTATTATAACCTCCGGTGTTCAATTTTATTTCTTTTTGCTTCCTCACTACCGAAGATAGCGAAGCATTGTGTTCGTGCGAGAGATTAAAAAATTATTTTTGCTCAGAATCGAAAATTTCCAGTAGCGTTTTACGTTTCAGACATCAAGGATCAAATTTGGTTCGGTGTCTATCTGTCTGTGTCTGTCTATCTGTAGTCAAATCGATGTGACGGGCATATCACCTAGTACCGTTCATCAAATCTTCATGAAATTTTCAGGGATTATGCTGATTTGTGCGTATATGGTCCCATCTCAATTTTATCAAATTCTATCCAGCACTTCCGCTTACGCACGCGCAAACGTATTTTTTTATATATGCCAATATTTCAGAAAGGGCTAGTTCGATTTGCCTCAAATTTAGGTAAAAGGTAGACTTTGGTGAAAACATAATGTAGTGTCACAATTTTATTGAATTCTGTCCACCATTTTCTCTTTTTTTTATTGTATTGTTTTTTTTTTTTTGTTTTTGTTTGCTTTTGGATAGATTTAATATTACACTTTAATAAATATTTTGATTTATTTTTCTGATCAGTTGTTTTAACATAAACTTCGTGTTGTTATATTCTGTCACTATTCCTTAAGTATTTGTTTTGGATTAATGTATAGCTTACATACTTAGGAAATTCGCAAATTCAGGCCAGCAAAATTCCTCAATACCTACCCTTATCCATATTTTCCAGTTCTAAGTGAAACTCCTAACTGAACTCACCTATAAGTCTCTATTTTTATTTAATATACTTATTTATTTTTGGTTTTCTTTTCTTTCTGTACATTCCTATATGTCTATTATTTCATATTATATCCTTTTTCTTTCTTTTTCAATCTCTCTCGTAGATCTGTAGAAGTATATTCACATTTGCATATATTATATATTACATTAAAACAATTGTTACCATCTATTTACTTTAGTTTAGGATCCTGTTAGCTTACTCTGTTTATATTTTAATGTACCTACTGTTTATAATTTTAATAAGCTTATTCACATTGTTTATAATTTTTTTTTCTAAATATTAAGTAACTTCCACAATTCTCTATATTTTTGTATCTTGTCCGTTCTAGCGCTGAAGAAGACCTGAAAAGACAGGTCGAAACGTTGGCTTTTAATAAAATAGTTTTGCCGCTATTTAGATTATTTATGACCGCCACCATGGACCATATCCTTTCTTTATCATGCAACGGTGAACTATTAAATATTCAATAATAAATTTTATTAAATATTATCATTATAAAACGGGACCTATAATACGAAAAGGCCAAAATATTTCTCTTAGGTATTAGAACTAGATAAAGAAACGCCATTATCAAAACGCTATTAGACAGCTAGCTGGAGATATGGGAAAAGCTATTATCACAATTGGTCTTTGTTGAAGAAGATCGGTTCCGCTCCAGTGATTGGGAATAGGCAATCTCCAGGAGGTGATATCCAGCCCGCTTTCTAGTCTTCTTCTCTACGCCTCTCTTCTGACAGAAATGGTTATCAACTTACCCCGAACAGAATAGAAAATATTTAAAAAACAAATTCTAAGTTATGCGAACTGTGCTCATTGGGATGTAAAAATAGCTACGAGAAAATCTGACTGAGGTGCTATTTCGATGATGCAGTACATATAATAATATAAAAGAATTAATAAAATAAAAATCAATTAATAAAATAGGAAACGTCGACTGGATAGCTAAGCTAAGAGGTAGAAGTATTTACACTGTATTTTACCACGCTCTATGTTCCTATTATTGAAGTTTTAGATTATTTTCAAAGATAATTATATATAATAACACATGCTAGGACACTCAGCTAATCCTGACCTATCGAAATATAATTAGTGTTCTCAGCTAAAAGTATTGTTAAATGCTATTGGAGAAGGAAATCTAGTTTAAAAAACCAACTCAGCCATAATTAGAACAAATATTAACAGGATATTAAATAAATATAAACAAATATAAAATATAAATAATCCCGAATTAATTAAGCTCTATACGAAAAACAAAGGTTTCTACTTCAAATCCCAGGAAACCTGCACTTTTTGTAACCGATTCATTACTAACAGCCTGTTTCATATCCTTCTGTACTGCGAAAAGCTAACAGACAACAGACACAAACATTTACGAGCATTTATCTCTGCGCCAAGTGATGTAAACAAGATACAAGACATACTTCGAATCGATAACATAGATAAACCTAATAAAATTTACTGGTTCATAATGTCAGCATGCAATTCACTGGATTCCTTAAGCTCTGATGTCCCACACACCAACCAAGTGCTATGACTAAGGATAATTGTTGGTCAGTTCAATTAATTGTTTGTTTCTTTTTTGGTTTTATTGATAATGTAGATAGAAATTAATTGGAATGTAATAAAGTATTATTGTTTAGTTATTGTTTTTACAATAAGTCAATGTACAGTTAGGATAAACTAGACTCATGTAGGTGAAATGAAGTTATTCATATATGTATCATTTGTACAAGATTGTAAAATAAACTTTAACAAATAAAATCAATTCTATTCTATTCTATTAAATAAATATAAACAACATTTGCATGACGAAGACAGGATACCATTGCATAGCTCATCTTATAGTGAACACTTAAACTTTTTTTTTTTATGACGATCACATCCCCAGTATTTGTTGATGAGGATTAATTTCAAATGTACGAAACTATTAATGCAGATGTATGATCAAGATTTCTGTTAATAATAAAATTGTGAAAATTACTCCACAACTTGAGTGCAAAATGTGCAACACTAAAGAAAAGAAAACACTCCATCATATATTATGTAAATGCCTAATTTATAGTATTTAAGGTTAAGAATTTACCAGGGTATGGAAATTCTTAATGCGATCGAATATTAGAGCCAACCACTATAGAAGATATGAGAATTTTTTTTATCTCTAATATATCAAATTATAGAGAATTGGTAGGGTAACCTGGAATAGTGTCCTCCGCATATTATGGCAAAAATTCCATATTGTATATCGGCATGAAATCTGGCCGGGTATTTTTCTTGTTTGTTCTCTTAGGTATAGGGGTAATCGTTTAATTTAAATTTTAAAACATAGTTCAATATTAATACTTAAAAAAAAGTGAATTTATTGTTTTATGTGTATTTATTTATGTATATTGTTGACAATTTTAGATTTTATAGTAATTTGATAATTGAAACAATTTAACTGTCTGACCTTTACCGAATATGATTTTTAATTTATGCTTAAGAGTGTAGTAATGTCTGTTATGTAGTATAAAAAAGAATTTGTATATACATAAGGATAATGTTTGTTATTTTTTGTGATAGACTCCATTTGTAAAGTGTTCTTCCCTCAAAACAAATAAAAATTGATTGATTGACACATGCTATGATTTTATGATTCATTCATGTGTACACTACAATTTTTACGTACAATTTTTTGTATAATTGTAGCGGCTAATTTGAAGTTTCGGAGAATGGAGAGTTCATCACAAAAAAAAAAATAAACTAATTATATGTTTTCATGTACATTGGCGAAATTTAGCAGAATAATTAAATTTGCCATAGCTTTGGCCTCATATCAGATAAATTAGTAAAGGATATATACATTTAAAGAAAAAAAATATATTATGCAATTTGTTTACGTCTAAATTTTTTTTTCATGTACAACAAAAGGCTGTGGTATTAAGAAGACGAGTCAAAAAACGTAAGGTGAAAATAATTTTTTTCCGAAAATTGTCACTGAAATTTAAATCTCGAAAAGTAAAACTGATATGGAAGAAATGAATATAAACTTCCTTGGGAAGGAGTTGGTCGGAGGATGCAATCAAGTAAATAACAAATTTAAAAGAAAGGTATTTTTAATTATTACTCCGACGTTTTGACCCACCTTGTGAAAATAAAATAAATGAATTATAAGAAGATGTTAAATAACAAACAGTTATCTGATAAAGAAATAATAAGATGATATCAGAGATATATTGGGGGACAATATAGTTAAAATATCAAGTATTATATATATATTTATATATATAGAAGATTTAAACAAAAATAGAATATAAATATGAATAAAAACATAAAACAAAGGAGAAGATAGCGTGTAAGTTAAAAGTAAACTTCTTATAGGAAAGTTTATCAGTTTCATTTTTTTTACAAAAAAATGTCTACGACGTTTCGTTTTCAAGATATATGAGAGAATCTGTAAAATGTAATTGGCGGGAAATTTTAATATATTTACCTTGAAACAACTGCCAAAAAATTCCCAAAGTCATTTGTATTTCCATCCGTGTACTCTACAAGCACCTATTTCTCATTCATTGACTGGACTATATATCTTACTAACTTATATTATAAAAATATTGTGCCGTTTGGCCGATATAATCTGGTTATTTTGAGACGTTGAGGAGATCACGTTAAATGGCCCAATATTACTGTAGAAAATGAGTTTTCATTTGTTTTTATTACCTAATTAAATAGACAAAGTTTGCCAATCTCCAGATTTAAAACGTCCCAATTTCACGAATTTTCGTAAATAAAATATTTAGAGGTTACGATGAGATGAAGCCATTTACAAAGTTTAAGGCGGATGTTACTAATCTGACAAAATGGGGTCTGTACCCCGGGCTAACAGTAAAGCCAGAGATAGAGCTATGGAGGGATAGATGTTTGGTTAGCCCGAAGGACCAAGGACCTCTGGAGAGCCTCAAGGTAAAAAAGGAAGGGGCCAGGATGAGAGCCAGGATCTGGGTCTCTGGGTCACCATTGGGAGTCCTTTTTTAGGGAGCACTATCTCCCTCTACTTATCCTCTCTACTCGAGCCATCTCTTATCCAATCTTCCGCCTCTTCTTCTTGTTCTCAACTTCTTGCGGTAAAGAAGGAAGAACAACAGGAAGAAAAGACAGGTCACGGACGGCACGTGATAATATTCTTCAATCTATTATAGAGGATGTACCATCTAATATGCCCGTAGTGTGAACAGCTCCAGCTAACCATTAATTGATTTTTAATGCTTTCGTAAAATTATATATATATATATATATATATATATATATATATGTATATATATATAATTTTATAATTTATAAATTTAAATTTCGTGAGAAATAAAAATTAAATAGATTCAATTTAAAATTATGTAGAAAGGACTGTTGATAGATCTAATTATTTCCCAACTACTTATTAGCTTAGCCATTTCCGAAAACAGTTAATTATGTATGAAATATATAATTTGTGTCATCTTTATGTATTATGTAGGTAGCGGGGTAGCTCAGAGGTACTGAGCTCCCAATGCTAAAGATCCCATGTTCGAATCCCGTCTCTGGGGAGAAAAATTATATATTCTGTTTCATTGGCCGTGGGGCGACCCTGGATAGGGAGACCTTCCTGAGGCACACCCATCCTCTATAAAGTGAGTACTCTTAATTTTTAATTTTTTTTTTATTTTAATGAAATTTACAACTGTATTACATTAAAAATACAACAGGTAAATGTGACATTGGTAACATGACATGTAAAACATGAAGAGAAACTACCCATTGGTAGAATTCAAATTAAAGTTCTATATTAGAAGATCCCGAGGCCATCTTCTTTTCAGACGCCTCGGACGGTTATCAGGAATCGAGGAAGAAGCAAGACTGGAAACAAGTGGATTCGGATGAGACTGGAGTTTATCATGAAAGGATAGGTATCTGGCTCGGGCTAGAGCAGCGGCATATGGAACATTAAGGTCATTATGGATGGTTTTATTGGTGAAAAAATATGGGGCATTAAGGATTTTACGAAGGATTTTGGATTGTAAGGATTGGATACGAGAGGAAATCGATGGTTTAGTGGAGCCCCATAGCTCAATTTCGTAAGTCCAAATAGGTCTTATTATTGTCATATATATGAGTCGTTTGTAATTGATTGAAAGCTTAGAGCGTTTGTCTAGTAAGTGTTGGAGTAGTCGGAAACGTCGAGCAGTTTTTTGTCGTTTCAGTCTTGTATGAGGATTCCATGTGAGTCGTTTGTCGACGTGGAGTCCTAGGTAACGGATTTGTTCAACTGGAATAAGTTCCGAATTGTTAAAGAATACTGTAGGGCAGGAGGCCATAGGTTTGCGACGCAGGGTAAAGGTAATTTGATGGGATTTATTGGAGTTTATTTTCATCCTCCAGTTTTGACACCATTCTTCAAGACTTGTGATGTGTGATTGGAGAGTTTGGGATGCAATTGATGGATCGTTATTAACTGATAGGATACACGTGTCATCGCCATAAGTAGTACTCTTAATTAAAATTATTGATTAGGGGGAAAACCTGCCGTTGAGCATGATCTAGGCCAAATCACCTCCTTGCACAACCGTAGGCCAAGAAACAGTGTTTTCCCTATATAGTACTGAACCCAATACACTTCATGGGTTATAGCGGTACAGGTTTTTGTTTTTTTTAGGTATTGTGTATAATTTTCCAATTGTGTTTTTTTGTCGGTACGCCATATCTTCGTCAATTCTTCATTAAATCCAATGATTGACCCCTCGTTTTGAAGATCTTCTCCTTCAGGTGAAAAAAAATAGTCATACCTCCCCCCCCCCTAAATTTTAGGAAAAAAAATAATGAAGAAAAAGAAACGAATTATTTATGGAAAAAAACGAGTTATATGCAAATAATTCAAAAAGTGTGCATTTTTATGTTGATTGTACCCATGACTATTTGAAAGATTACTAAATTTTTTTGACAGACAAAAAAAATATATATTGAAATCCAAAAAATTAGAAATTTGAAACAATTTGTACCGAGTGGAAGGATGTTTATATTTATTTATTGTTTATATATTTTTCAAGGAAGAACAGAGTTGACTATTCCACCCATGAGACCTCATTTTAAAGGTCTTCTTCTCCTTCAGGTGAGGAAAAATAGTCCTATCGAAATTTTAGGAAAAAAATAATGAAGGAAAAGAAACGAATTATTTAAGGAAAAAAACGAATTATATGCAAATAATGAAAAAAGTATGAATTTTATGTTGATTGTACCCATGACTTTTTGAATGATTACTAAATTTTTTACAGACAAAAAAAATATTTTATTTTCCTGAAAATGGATGAAAGAAAATATTTGAGTACGATTTATTTGATTAACTAAAGCAATGTATAACCGCTTAAGGTAGATCAGTGTAAAAATTCCAATATCCTCTAATGTTGCTAATCAAAATTTTTTTGAAATAGCCTAATTTTGTCAAACAATAATTTCTGTTAAAAGTAGAGAAAACAATGAAGCTTGTGTGATTGAAGTAAAAAAGTATGCATTTTTATTTGATTATACCCATGACTATTTGAAAGATTACTAAATTCTCTACAAAATAAAACAAAAATATTGAAATCCGAAAAAAAGTATAAATTTAAAACAATTTGTACCGAGTGGAAGGAGCAAAGTGTGTTTATATATTCACACTTTCCTCAACAAATCCTAAAATACGAATTTTCATAACAGTCGAAAAATAGAAATTGTTTGCACCAAATCGGAGCCTAGAATTTTTCCAAAAATTAAAAGCGTAATCGTAACCATAACTATTTGAAAGAATATCCAAAAATGATAATCCAAAAAAAATAAATAAAAAAATTCGGACCATTATTAGCTGAGACACACGTTATTGCAATTCGTAAACATTTTGGTTTATAACATGAATGAAGTTTTATAATAATTTTCATTTCCTTGGTCGATTACAACGAACAACCAAAAAAATAAGAAGTGATTCCACCATCTTACTATATTTTGAATTATTTAATTTTCGACATTTGTTCATTGACCAATATTGTTTGCGAATTATTAACACGGGCTGACTAGTTTATGATGAATACTTGCCATATTATTGTTATAATAATAGATTTCATAATATTTATAACATTATAGTGTGTAACATTTTTTTTATAGTTTTATATTTGTTTTAATTATATATATAAAAGTTATATTCCGTCATATAAATGGTGTGATGAACAAGCGTGTTATTAGTGAACTATAATATTCTCGAATACAGCTAAGTCAGCTCGAATCCTCCCTGGATGGATTGAAATTTATTTTTCTTCTGTTCATTATTCCTAAAATTGGGGTCTTGAGATTTTATTTGTTATATAAATCAGACCATTATTCATCAACATTTTATTTATTAGCTATTTTATTACGACGTTTCGACCATCAATAGTACCATTTTCAAGTCTTAATGAATCCTCCATTATATATTCATTATTAATGTCGTATTAATTTGTTCAGAGAATAATTAAATTGTCCTGCTATTTAAGAGTTTCCCCTACGTCATTTCTGGAGGGATTGAATTTTATTTTGAGGGAAGAAATTTATTTTGTGCTGGACTATGGAATGAATCCTCGATCTTCTCACTCTGGTTTTAGAATATATTAATAATAATATATGTACCTGAGGTAAGGCATGAAGTTAAGAGGACCAGCGACTCCAACCAGCTTCACTCCTTCCTCAGCCATGTGCTGCAGCCAAACCCAGGTATGGTCGTCCAAGTCGAACGATTTCCCGAAGACGATGGTGTTCATGATGTTGCCTATCGTGTGAGAGAGGATCTGCTTAGGGTCGAATGGGCCATCCTCTCTTCGTTCGTCGATCATCTGGAACCAGGATAACCGAAAAAAATTTAAAAAATAAAATAAAAAAGGATATTCCAATAACGAACTCTGTATCCTGATACCTGGAAAGTAATCCTGATGCCACCTAGGATTCTTTTTTCCATCACTGCCCTTTTCTCGCCTACTTTGACGGCTCCTAAATTTTTCAAGCAGTTGATGACGAATTTCCTCTGTTCGCGCCACTTAGGACCCTCCACAGCGATTAGACCTGAAAAATATATAGAAGTTGGCGACTCTTTAAATAAAAGCAGCCCCAGCCTAATGGAATTATAAAAGAAAGTTTTGGGGAGGTGATAATCATTTAAAATATACTTGAAAGTTATGGCTAAGATGTTAAACTTAGCAGCCTGGAGTCGAATTCAACCAGGACCTGTTGAAGCCGCAGGTCTGAGCTCTATATAGTGTGTCCCGTAAGTAGAGAGATATTAGAAGTAATTCCATACCTCAAGAGGTACAAGAAAATTCATATGAACAATGGGCCAATTTTCAGTAGAAAAGTAGGAAATCCAAGTTTTGTGTTTATTTTTAATAGGTTTAATAATAAAGATATATTTAATTTAAGTGCATCACTGTAAATCTGAGAAAATTTACTTCAAATCAAAATAGCATTTGTAATTTGTCATTGTTAAGTCCATTTAAAGAGGTTTTTGAACGGCTAAACTAAGCTATATTCTGTTATTAAAAATGTCACAAGTTATTTGCGATTTTTTTTTTAATCATCTTCCAAATAAACTAGAGATATCTCACTTTAAGAAAAACTTTTTCGTTTTATAAACTTTAAGTTGAGGTTTATTAGGAAAAAAATTAAGGTTCACATTAAATTGTGTAAAAAAACATTATGCGATTTTTCCTTTCACTTTCCTATATATGTAATATATAGTAAGGGTATATAGCCCTACTTTTCTACTGAAAATTAGCCCATTGTTCATATGAATTTTTTTGTACCTCTTGAGGTATGCAATTACTTCTAATATCCTCCGGAACTATCGAATCCTACGTTTATAAGCCCAAAAACGTACTATTTTCGAGATAATGCAAGCCATAGGGTTCGCATCCACACAACCTTACATTAATTGTAGTAGTGTCATTGAATACATGTCTCATTTCGTCGACTTGAGGCCTATATGATCGAGAGAGGAGGAGTTTATATTATTTATCAATGGTATTTTTGATCGGCAAGCTGTATCATCTTTAATTCTTCACCAAACCCCAAGATTGAGCCACCAATTTCGAAGGTTTCCTTCACCTTCAGGCGGGCAAAATAGTCCAATCCCCCCGAAAATTCAGACTAACAAGTTATGAAAGAAAACAAACTTTATTTGCGAATAACTAAAAGATTACACACTTTTCCCTCGGTCATGCCCATGATTATATAAAAGATTACTAAATTCCCTGCAAAAGGAAAAAAAAATCATCGAAATCGGACAATGTTTAGCAAAGATTATTGAAATTTGTAAACATGAAGGTTCCAAACATTAATGAATATTTAAATTTATTTTGTTTCCTTTGTCGAGTATATTTCTCGAAAAAGTTACAATTGATTTTTTTATCTCTTGATACGTTGCATTATTTTATTTGCATATTAATTTGGCATATGATAACATTATGCTGTGCGAATTTTTCGCACGGGCATACTAGTATTATATGTGGTTTTCATAAAAGCTATTGTTGGTATTATCTAATATTTAATTGTATAGATTACAGCGTTATAAATATTAAAATTTGTATATATATAAGGGTACTTATACCAATAAAAATACCCAGGATGGAATATAAATAAATATAGCATTTATGATTTTTACTTCCACTTCCCCTTTGTCTGAAAATACCCATTTTTCCTAAGAAGAGGATGGTAAGTGAGAGTTGTGTGAAGCGTGCACCGCACCAGATTTTATTTTATGACCAAGAAGTTTTATGGCCTAAAATCATATGATTGTTTTCAATCCATTGTTTCCACAGGTAGTTCTGACACGCTTCGCAGGAATTGATGAATGAAGTCGAATAAATTCAAACAATGAACCATTCAGCTCTTTTACAAAGGACAGAAAAAGGAATAATAAAAAGAAATATTTGTAAATTGGAGGAAATTGAGGTCCTTGCGCAGACCGATCCCGCCTTAAGGATGACCTTAACATTCTACAAGTGGCTCGGAACGAGGGTAACTCGCCTCTCTAGAAGGGATAGTTCAACAAACTTTAACCGCACTCCAAGGCCGCATGTAGCCGTTACAATTATATATAATATATAATATATATTTAAGTGATTCGGCAAAGATTGAAGGAGACAAGGCTTGCAATGTTCTCCGATATATGTGACACGTTATCTTGTGTAAATTATGGACGGGTGCCATTGGCTCGACATCTGAGACAGTCCCTTAGATATCCCTACTTCCACGGCGAGGCACACGCCTTCCTCAGTTGCGAAAGCCTAGTTCCACCTGCCTTGGGAAAGGTTGTTCGTAATTAGCACATCTCACTTCATTAGTATATTTTATTTATAAACCAGATAATCGTGAATGATGTTTATTATTTTTATAACATTTAAGTTAACGTGTTAATTAATTAATAAATAAAATAAGGCTTATATAACACAACGTTTTGGCCACGCCATCATTAGGTATGATCTACGATGCGACAAGGACTTCTGGTTTTTTTATTTTTTATTTATTTTTTTATTTATTTATTGTAAGGCTTCAACCACTAGTCATTATTGCCTTATTTTCATTGAGAATTAGATTGTATTTTCAAGTTTAGAACATTTCAGATAAGAAAATAATTTATCATTGTGGGTAAATGGTTGGCTGTCGTGAATAATGAAGAGAAGAATAGTTGGGGTGATCAATCATATAAGAAGGCAAAATAATATTTATTTTGACATTTGCCAACGTTTGGACCTGAAGTTCAGGCCTTCATCAGGGCTGTCTAAAAAGGTTGATGGATAAAAAAAAAATTATTCTCCATCAACCTTTTTGGAGACAGCCCTGATGAAGGCCTGAACTTCATGTCGAAACGTCGGCAAATGTCAAAATAAATATTATCATTTATTTTTTGCCTTCTTATTTGACTGATCACCCCAACTATTCTTCTCTTCAAAATGATTTATCAATTTCATTCGTATTGTCCTGTAAAATGAAGTGTAGATCGTATGTCAAGTCACAAGATAGTCTAAATGTTCTGTTAAAATATGTAACACTGTCAGAGGAGTCTCGCAGCTTTGGCATGGCGAAGAATCACGGGCCATCAGGTATCCATGGGTAAGGCGTGTATGACCTATACGCAGGTGCGTAAGAATTACTTCCTCTCAGCGGTTATACGGACTTCGGACTTTGTTTCTCCATAAAAAAATGACTCTAGATACCGATCGATTTATAAAATATATATTTGGTAGTAAACTATGAGTACAGTATAAAACAAACCTTACTAAAATTTTTCAAAGCCCTTCTTGAAATGAAATTCAATAAACTTTTGTAAAGTTTATTATTTCGAGGAAAATACACTTAACCCTTATTTACTTATTAAAATCTTTATTCCTTTTTGCACTTAGAAGTTTCGGGTAACTTTGCCCATTTTCAAGTCAAAAATTATATCTATATTATAAATAATATTATTTTTAAAAAATATGCACCACTACAACCCATGAAGGGTCTTGGATTCAGTACTATTCAAGAAAAATAACCGCTACATTTTCCCCCTTAATTAATTGTTTAATTAAGGGTACCCATTTTTAGAGGCTGAGAGTGCCCCAGGAGGGTCTTCTGACCTCAGGGTCGCCCCCGACTGATGAAATAGAATAAATAATTTTTCTGCCATGAGCAGGCATTCGAACCTTGAGCATTGGCAGATCAATGCCCTACCACTGATCTACTCCACTACCTCATAAATAATATTATTATAAATATATATGTAAAATTATATATCAGCAGATAAAAGAAGAAGTTTTAATCATAGGTGCAGACATTCGATTTGTAATTAGGAGGAGAGAGCATTTAAAAAAAAAAATGGCGGCAGTTTTTATTATGTGTAAAAATTCAACATAATTATTGAGAAGCGAACAGATATAATATTAAATAATTAAAATTAATTTGTTTTTATGTTTGTATAATTGTAAGAATTTTAATACATTTAATAACAAAGGTATTATTTTTGTTTACAAGCAAAAAATCGATAGGCATATAATTATCTAATAATGTTGGAAAAATAGCGAAAATAAATAATAATTTTCTTTTGTAAATGGTGTAAAATATATTCTTTCTCGGCTCCTAAGGTCCATAAGGTCAATTAAATAAAAAAATTTTTTTGATTAGTGTTGCATAAATGCGAGACCAAGACGAGTCTTGGTCTCGCGTACTCAGTTCTGGTCTTGTCTTGCAGTTATCTATTAGCATATTACTATAGAGATATTTCTTTAGTTTTTCAGAATTTGGAAACCTTCCGTCCGAAGTCCGAGTGAAAAATTGATTATCAGCTAAATGCAAGAGTATATTGTTTCTACCGATTCTATTAATTTAAAATACCGGGGAAGTATTTTAAATCCCCGTCCACACCCATTAAAAAAAAAAACTAACATTGTCTTGTCTGGTATTACTAACTATTTTGCTTTAATTTGTTTTCACAAAAATGTTTTTTTATCACTCTTTGTCTTGGTCTTGCAACAGTTAGGCAGTCAAGGTGCAAGACCAAGACCGATTTTGGGCAACACTATATTTGTTTCAGTTTTTTTAATAATAGTTATAAGAATGATTAAAAGTAAATGATTTCAGTTAGAAATTATTAAATTGAAATAAATAGTATCAACAAAATATTATAGATAACATAACACAAATTTTGTTTAAGTATTTAATATATTTAATATAAATATGGAATGCTATGGGGCCTAGAACATAGTTGCATAGGCACGTGCCTCTTTGGATTTCCCCACTATATCCGGGGTGCATGGAATATTCCAGAGACCTTAAGACATTCCCTTTCGAAATAATAAAATAAGATATGAATACCAGGAAGAATAATTGATTGTAATAGTTTATATTGAAGTAGAGAATAAAATTAATACATAGCAAAAGCCCTTTAAAATAAACAAAACTAAACTGATCTATTTTTGTTGTATGATGTTAGACTATGATTGTTGGATGATAATCTAACAATAAAAATAAATCTTACGTTACACTTGTTACATTTTATTTTCGGCAATTATATTTTTTTAAGTTATATA